TCGTTGGGTGGCCCAGCCCGTGCCCCTTAACAGAGGCGGTTGGAGCCGCTCGCCGCTGTACTCGCTGTATTCCAAATAAATACATCCAGCACGGACAAAAGAGGCAGAAAAGAAAGCCCCTAGCCATATCTAAGCGCTGCGTCATGTCTATAAAAAAATAATTTCTGCAACAGATTTATTTGCATATCAAATAAAATAGCACTAAGATAAGAAGCGTTTCAAATGATGAAGTAGATTTCCCTTAAACATTAAGGATCGATCCATTTAGAGAGCGTGAGACACTAAACCGCACGTCTGCTTAATCCAAAGGCTGGAAAACGACACGCCGCGGCGAACGAGGTGCCCCTCTGCCCTGACGGCCAGGCCAGAAGGACAGTAAGGCACAACCCCAGGCCGGTGTCGGCTGGGCCCTGCGGCTGTACCCGCCCTGGCGGCGCGGACCAGCACATCGCACCTACCCGAGGGGTAGATGCTGATCCCGCTCCTGCAGGATGCGAGACGGGGGCTGCCCTGCGGGCTCCCCCTCCAGAGAGCTGGAAGAGAAATGCCGGTTGCACCAAACCACCCAGGAAATTCCCAAAATTCAACCAAGCCGACAGCCAGGGACTGCTCTGCGCCGTCACTTCATGGCGCTCTGAAACCACCACGTTTCCGAAGCAGGCTAAAAGGCATGCCGTGTGCCTCCCGGAGTCTGCCCTGCTGTTTGGGGGATCACAAGTTAATTAATAATCGGCTGGAATCACGTGCTCGAATTAGCGGTTCTTAATGAAAAAATGGCTCAGGAATCCGATGAGTCCTGGACTCATGTTTATATATATATACACCCCTCTCTCAAACGTTCTGGAAACTATAAATGATAACGATTTGCCGCTGACACGGAAGAAGGTATTTATCTCGGGGGGGATTTTTCTGTTCTCTGTTAATTGGGTCATAAGCCAATTAAAAGGCAGTAGCTTGGGGTGCCTCAATTTGTTGGACCGGGCTGCGTTTAGGCTGAGGGACGGGGACGTTCTGGCATCGAGGGATGCCGACGTTTTCATCAGACGTTTGTGAGGTTAGGCTGCTCTGATGCTAAGGGTTTTGCCAAGATCCTCTTAGGGTCACAGTGACCTTGATAACATTAGTACAGAAGTGATGTAAACGTGAATGAATTAACGTCAGTTCAGTAGGATACGGCACCTTTAAATGTCTTTTGAGATATGTGACCGTATGTCCCCACCACGAATGTGTAAATCAGAGGAACGATATAAACGGTTTTAGCTGAGGTACGGTTCTTGGGAGTGTTTCCCAAGATACTTTCAACACCTCCTAGTCATCTTGTTTTGTCAAGGCACAAGGGCTGCCAGCATGAAAAAGGCAGCAAATGGGCAGCGAGGTTGGGCTTTGGATGGGTTATCAAATTCTCTTGGAAAATGGTTATTAGTTTTGCCTTGGCATCGGCTGGAAAAAAGCTGCACCCTTCTGTAATAACGTCCGTGTAGCTGCCTAAAGACAAACCTCGCAAAAGGAAAAAGGTGCTTTGAAGCCCCTTCTAATCTCACCTCAGTGTGACAAGACAAAGGACCGTCGAGGAGAGGGTTTGCTCCGTTCCTAGAGACGAACCCACGCTCGGGACACATCCGAAGAGTGTTCCTTTTCCTCTCTGTCGTTATCTGGGGAAGGAAGGAGAAACGGTAGGTTAGTTCACAGGCTGTGGTGAACCTCCAAGAGCTGGTGCAGCCATAGTACCACCGCATCCCAAGAAAGGGTGGAGCCATGAGGATTTAGCATTGCGAGAGTGCAAAGGCTTTTAGAATCATAGAATAGTTTGGGTTGGAAGGGACCTCTAAAGGTCATCTAGTCCATTCTTCCTTATATCTAGTCTAAATCTACCCCCCTTTGGTTTAAAGCCATTCCCCCTTGTCCTGTCGCAACAGGCCCTGCTAAAAAGTCTGTCGCCATCTTTTTTATAAGCCCCCTTTAAGTACTGACAGGCTGCAAGAAGGTCTCCCCGAAGCCTTCTCTTCTCTAGGCTGAACAACCCCAACTCTCTCAGCCTTTCTTCA